ACAGGAGGCAGGGGGAGGGGTAGAGAGGGTGGAGAACTGTTACTCAGAGAAAAATGGGACATATCAAATCTATAATAAAAATAATCTTAACTGACTATATTTAACATAAATAAGAGGTATACCGGTTGGCTTAGCACATCATGTACCTTTACTCATTGAGGTTATTGTGACTTGACATTTTGCTTTTGCATGCATGGATTTTCTATCTCTATTACATTTTAAGAAAAATAGAGGGATAGGCCCGCAAAAGTTCCAGAGGAAGGAAACATTTTCATTAGCAGAACTTCCCAGCACTCACCTGCTGGAGGACAAGGACACCATGTTTTTCATCCTCCTGCAAGATATCTGACCTGTTCTTGCAAGAAGGATCCCAGGAATGGTATATGCTCTCTCAGTCTTAAGCGAGATCAATCCTGATTGTTCTCAAGACCAACCAATGATTGAGAGGGCTTTGGCAATGACTTCCTGCAGTCACCAAGGATTATTTTCTTGTATGCACTCACTTCTTTAGAATTCTGTCATGCAAAGTGCACTTGCCTATCTTTGCTTTCATTATAGTTACACACAATAACTCATACCTTTGCACTCATTTCCCAAGAACTTTTAGGACACCATTACTTATTCTCTCCCGTAGTTAGGTATTTCATTCTTTGCATCTGGAGGCAGGTCCAGCTTCAGGGGCACACACCCTGCAACTGGTCCTGTCTAGAAGACTAACTTCTTCAAAGTGAATTTCTATTAAGCCCTGCCTATACGTCTGGGATGGGTGCCACTGCAGAACGGTTCTGAGTATAGTGATCATTTTCACAGCCATTCACTTGGCAGAGTGACTATCACAAACCTAAAAGTTCAAATGGCCCCACCCAAAATACTTTTGACATTTGATTACAGACAACTGGTTTGACTGAAAGTTAAGCTTTGGCCTTCACTGCCCTGTATCATCCTGTTACCATGTGTACAAACAGGCCCCAGCTCCTCCAAAGCTCCTTGTAGTTTATAAACAATACCACCTCCAAACACTGGTTCATAAAGCTTCCCATTCTATAAACTTAATGTGTTATGCAGAATTTAACATTCCCCTTAGCATAATTTGATTAAGAATGTGTAGAATTGTATCAGATGTAAAAGTCAAGCCCTGTAATTTCAATTATCAAACACTTGTACCAACGCCTATACCTGAATAGCTCAGTGGCTCATACTTGAACTGCAAAAATAGTGGCTGAATGTCCAGAAAGGAGGGAAAGTATTTGAGCAAATTATTTTCTTAGCTGTGACAGATTTGAAAGGGCGCTCCTTAAGGTGAGTGACAAAAGAGGTCTGTAAAATGTGTATTTACCTTGGAACATCCTATCACACACCTCAAGCCATTCCTAGAATTGCAATTGTCATTTTCTACCTATCCACATTGGATCCTGACACAGAAATGTCACAGGTTCTGATATAATAATTGGCCACTGTCCAGATGCCTGAGATCAAAAGTGTGCCTCCACATACCTGTTAGCTAGTATTAAAACATTCTCTTGTACAGATCTCTTCAAAACAATGCAGAAATTCAACTGCATGTGTATATGAGCATGTGTTGTGTGTAGGGAAGAAAGTTAGGTGGGGGAGAATGGTAAAGTGACAGCTCACCCTCATTTACCATGAATACATGATGAGACACACCTTGTTACTTGCCTCTCCCTCTTCCTGAAGTCATCTCTCTAGTCTGAGTTTCACATAATCTTAATTTCATTGTTCCAGACCTAGGGAATATTAATTTAACAGCCTCCCTCAAATTCACATTAATTTCAAACCAATAGCATAATCCAGCCACACCTCTACTGTGTGCAACAGAATCCTGGACAGAACAGGTTGTGCCCAGGCAGGGGATGCATGAGAATAGGTGGCCATTGTCTCATTCAGCAACCACAATATGATAAACTTCCCAAAATAACGATTCCTAAGCCTGGGTAGAATCTGTATCACCATCCTTCAGACCACAAATTCACATACTCAAAACAATAAGTGTTACGTGGCTTCTGCAAAAATGAACAACTGTATAGCCCTCCCTCAGGCACCTGGGCAGCATTAGTTCTGCAGGTATGTTCTAACGCCTGCCTTTATGTTGTTAATGCAATTGGGAAAAGAATAAAAATCAAAATCCTTATTTCTATAACTTTACCGCTCTACATTCAGAAATTCTCCACTTTTGTTTCTAATTCATCAGTGTGAAATAGTGGTCTATACACAGCTGCCCTGGAAATCTTAAAGATATTCCTATTGCTTGCTCCCCAACATCCAAATAGAGCCCGTGCCCACTTCCTTCCGCAAACTTTGCTGAATAGCCTGGCACTTTCTCCAAACAGTAAACTCATTCTTCCACTCTTTCCCATCTGAGCATTTTCAAAATTTGACAGTTACATATTTCACTCATTTACTTAATAAATATTTATCAAGCACTCACTATGTGACAGATGCTGAAGGGTACAGATTTGCTGTAGTCCCTGCCTGCAAGGCACCCACAGGTCAGTCTGAATGAGGCCTTTGAGTGGCTCTGAGCTCTCTGAAACTCAAGCACCCAGTCTGTGCCTCTGCCTTGTTCCAAACTCATATTTGTTGACTAAATGCATTGGGTAGACTTGATTTTACAAGTAGAGCATTCTAATTAACAAAGACATTCCAAAGCCAAAGGGGTAAGTCGGGCATGCTATCAACTGAGCGGGATTTGAAAATAAAAATCACTCTGATAACCTACTCTGAAGAATATTTCCTCTTGCTGACGGATATGTTGCCAGGTTGGGAAATGTAAAAGGATCTCTTTAATATTTGCTGTCTCAGAAATGGTCACAGGCTCTGTTGCAATTTGTCATGGCACGGGTCTGCTTGCACCAGGGCTGACAGAAGCTTGTTAACGCCAAAAATGCTTCTCTCCTTCTCAAACCTGCGGAAGCTGAATGTCACTGATATGACTATCTCAGCCTTTAGTGGGAACAACACCTGTCTCGCTTTCCTAGAAGGCAGCTAGGTACAAATCTCCAAGAGCAACAATTCACCTTTTCAAATTACACAGCCCAGGAGCGGCAGAGTGGAGAGAATGTGCTGCTACAAAACAAGGGAATTACGGGCAGAAACCCTGTTCAAACAGAGCAAGGGGAGGATCTGTTGGTGTTTAGCTTGAAATTTCATCTGAGCAGAGAGAGAGGCCACGAATGCTCTGCAGGCTGCAAAGGCTCCATATAGCATCTAGTATTTTTTTAAATACAAGATCCAAAAACATCATAATTCTACTCTAACACCATCCAAGTTCCAAGTCCTCAGATACACAGAGAAAAATGAATTCAACTGCTTAAAAATCCTTCACTCAACAACTAGGCATGAATTTCACTGTGATTGATAAGAGCTGACTCTAATGCCACACGAAATTTGTTTTTAAATGGTTGTTTTATTCAGAGTGGTTGCTTTGTAATTATGCTATCTTAATTTACTGTTAAACCTGTTTCATCTATAGTCATCCAACATTAATATTTATTTTGTTCATTTAATTTTAAAATATTCTTAAATTAAAGCTATTACAAATATTCTGCTGCTGAAGATAAGTCAGCATAGGCACTACTACAAAAATATCATGGAAGACATGACCAACATGTTATAGCTGTAATCTAGCTTAATAAACACAATACTATAAACTATTTTAGTAAATTAAAAAATAACCATACTAGAATGTGCTACAAAATCCATTGCTGAATATACCCTTTTTAAACCTCTGTGCTTCTTCATCTTGGAATTCTTACCCATGTAGTTAGATTTCACATTGTAATGGTAATTATACTTAAGAATCATCTTGTGTTAAAATATTTCCCATGCACATATTTTTTCATCATCTTTTCCCCAAAATAAAATCCTCAGCATTTAACCAATGCATGTTGGCTTTCAGAGATCTCATAATAAATTATAGCAAAATAAAGCCATGATGACATTAAACTTGTAGCAGACCTAATGTAATATACAATTGCATTGTCTCTTGTTCTTATCTGGGCTCTGTAACTTCTTATAACATTCTGCAAAAGCCGTCAGTACAAAATGGGTTTAGAACACAGGAACACCATAACCACTGCAGGAAATTTTAATGGTTTTCTCCCTGGAAAATACCAAATCTCGAAATCCTGCATACTAGTTCATTTTCATTTCCTCTTCACCATAATGCATTTTCATATCTAAAAGCAGCTCTTGGCTTAAGCCTTATACTGTCTGCAGCATGTTATTTTCTCTGCAGATTTACTTTTAGGGACCATGATAAAGAAAAGCAACACATACCATGGGCATTCCCAAGTAAACCATTATAAATTCACATTCTCTTTTGCACTAATTTGGACGGGAAGCAAGAAAGAAGAGGAAAAGCCCTTACAGTTCTCAAATAAAACTTCGCTGCTTTCATACGCCTCCACATACTCTGTCAGAGGCAGAAAAACACTCCAAACACAGATACTTCTGTCACTTTGCTAACCAAAGAAGTTGCTACCATCACCAACAATATGTTCACACTAATTTTTGATGTTTGTGTTCTAATCATCAGAATTTTTAAAAATCACGCACCTTTTTAAAAATTCTTTTCCTGAACCAACCTCGGGACCAAAACATTGGTCTGTGCTTCAAGGTTCCCTGTCTTAACTCAGTAATCAAAACCGAATGCCTTCAAATCCCTCAAGGGGTTGCTTCTTCCTTCTGCACTCAAAGTTGAACAAGAAAGTAGTGTGTGCTTTTTCTTCCACTGCTCTGCTTGGTTTTGCCTTTAGAATTTGCAGATTTGTTCCCACTCCTGGGCACCTGACAGGCTGTGATTTACATGTGAGAAAACAACTCCCGGGTTATTATCAAAGAGGCAGAAGCTGCTCCCAACCCTGTTTAGCTGGCCTCCAGGAAACAGACTTGAAAAAGGGGATGAGGGAAGGGATGCGGACTCTATCTAAAGCTATCTAGGACAAGGAACACATTTAAATCCAAAGTAATGGAGGCAAGTATAAAAAAAGAATATTATTTATTATCTTCTTTATTAATACTCACATGTAACCTTTGCTTTTTACACAAAAGTCTACTTTAGAAGAATGCCTCCTCCGTTTACCATGCCCAGTGGGGCTTTCTGTTCCTGGACCACTTCCCCTTTCTCCACCCCCACCCCCACATCCAAATTACTCTTACACATTCACAGATCACCACGAAAACGTTGTAAACAAGATTTGGGTTACTGGACCTTGATTTCATGAACATCCCACTTCAAAATGGAAGGCAGGTGGGGGGCAGGGAAAGAAATAGGAGAAAGGGGAAGGGAGAAAAGGTAGGAGAGAGGAGAGGAGGGGCACCTGGTCAGAACTTTCGAGTCTTGCCTTTTCTGAGGGTGTGTGTGTGTATGTGCGTTGGCTGTTCCTTAAAATTCACTGACTCAAAACATTGACAGCAAGTGCCTGTGTGTTATTTATATTATATATCTATAATAGAATATGTGGGCTTCCTCAGTTTGGGTCTAGGCTGTGTTTGCTTAAACACACCACAATCCTTCGTGCTTATCTCCACAGGGCATCAAGTCTCCCGGCCCCCCTCTCAGAGCCGGGGCTTCCGAAGCAGGGTCTTGCTGAGGTCTTTGACCTCCTCGGGGCTGTTGACCCGCTCGTAGCCCAGCACGGCCATGGGCTGGTAGCAAAACTCCTCCACCTGTTTGATCTGCTGGAAGGTGAGGGCGGTCCGCCAGGCGTTGGCGGCCTGCGTGGCGTTGCGTGCAGACACCACAAAAGGCTTGGAGGAAGAGCCCGAGCCACTGGTCATGTTCAGGGCAAACTGCTCCATTTCAGGGCTCACCAACAGTCCCACAAAGTCGTACACCCTCCGTAGTGTCTTGACCGGGTCTCCCACCAGGTCCTCGTACCGCACCACCAGGTAGTGGCCCTGCAGCCAGTCCGGGGGCTGCAGGGCCGTCTGCAGAGTCTTGGCCATGCTGTTGCAGATGACCTCCATAGCGCCGAGCGCGTGGTAGTCCGCTGGGCCGCCCATGCCCTCCTTCTTGGCGCCTAGCTTGTGGCCAGCGGCCTCCAGGAAGGGCATGCGGTGGGCGCGCGGGTCCCGGCTGCGCACCACCTGGAGGCTCTCGCGAATGAGGCCGTGGCGCGAGCGGATGCGTGAGCTGGCCACCGCACGGGGATCACGCACTAGGTGGATGACCTTGAGGTCCAAGGCTGGGTCTCGCAACAGCGGCGCCAACACTGCCACGTCGAAGACGCGCACACCCTTGATGACCAGCGTGCGGTACTTGCGGCACTCTTCCTCGAAACGCGCCAGGCGCTGCGGCGGGCACTTCTTGCACACGCGGTCGTCCACCAGCCCCACGACCTCCTTGCGGTAGGCGGGGCATAGAGGCGATGAGCACACCACTTTGTTGGTGGCGGCACCAAAGATGCCCAGCGTGGTGAGGTTGCGCCCCCCGCTGCCCGCGGGGCTGTACAGCTGGAAGACCGAGAGGTCGCAGCGGTAGAGAGCGCTCAGCATATCCCGCGCTGCCCCCTGCAGGGAAACGGCGTCCCCTGGGTACAGTTTTTGCCACACGTGCCACACTGGCTCATAGAGGAAGAACACCTCGGGATTCTGGTTGAAGAGCTCGCCAAAGAACGACGAGCCCGAGCGCCACGTGGTGAACACGTACACCAGCTGCCGCTTTTCCCTGCTGCCCCCGGTGCCCCGAGTGCCGTTGCCCGGAGAGGCCGCGGCCCCTGACACCCCTGCCGCAGCTGCGGGAGCCGCCCCGACGGCGGCAGCGGGAGGACGGTAAGGGGTGCGAGGGTCCAAGTGGGTGTGAGCGCGGGGCGGCGCGGCCGGAGGCGGCCCCGGGCGCCCCCAGCCGCCCCCGGAGACCCCCGCTGCGGCACCCAGCGGCCCGTCGGGGTTGCACTGCTGCAGCGGCTCCTTGTGCCACTTGTAGTCCAGGAGGTTGAGCATGGTGAGCACCAGCAGCAGCGCATAGCCCGCGCACAGCACTAGCGCCTTCCTGCGGAACACCTTCATTCCGAGAGGTGACGCGGGCCAGCGGCGTCCCGGGCGCCGGGGCCAGGGCGGGAGCAGGGCGCGCGGCGCGGCGGCAGGCGCAGTCTGGAGCAGCCGGGGGAGCGCGCCCGGGGGCAGAGCTCGCGGCGGACTGCGGCTCATCACAGGCACAACCCGGGCCGGCGGCGCGGCGGAGGCGGCCCTGCAGCCCGGGAAGGGGACGCAGCGGACTGGCTGCGGGCGCCGGGACTCGGGCCGCGGCTCCGAGGCGGGCGCGGCAGCAGCGGCGGCTGGTCCCCGGAGCCCAGGGCTGGCTCTCCCATGGCAGCGGCTCCGGGAGGGACCTGTGAGGGGAAGCAGAGTGAGAGGGTGCGCCCAATCGCCCTCCCAGCCTCCTCCTCCTAAGTAAGGCCCACCTTCGGGGCTGCCCGGCTCCTCCGCTCACCTGGAGCCGAGGGCGCGCCCCGAGGCGGTCCTGGCGGACTGTCCGGCTGTCACTCGTTCCTCGATTTCTCTCGCTCTCTTCCGCTGGAGGTCCCCGCGTATCCCTGGGCAGAGTTTCCGGGCAGCGGGCGTCCTGCGGCTCTGGAAGGAAAACTTTCCCCGGGCCCAGAGCCCTGCTCCGCTCTCCACCGAGCCCGGCGCGTCCCGGCTCCAGCTATGTCTCCCCGGCTCTCCCGGGACCGCAGCTTCCTTCCTCGCTCCGAGGGACGAAGCCAGCTGGGGGCGACGGAGGGGGACGGCTTACACGGGACCCAGCTCCCGGCAAAGCGGCTCTGCCTCTCTCGCTTTCGGCCTCCGCGCGGCGAACCTTCCCATCTCCGGGGCGGCGGTGGATGGGGAGCAGCGCGACCCCGCAGCGGCGGCGGCAGCTGCTTCCATCACCGCGAGGATGCCCGGGCGGGCAGCTCAGGCAACCCGCGCCGATCCGCAGCCTCCGACTGGCCCGAAAGACCCAGGACACACAGCTCGAGAGAAAGGAGCCCGGGGCCGCAGCGCTCCCTGCCCGCCCCGCCCCCGGCACCAGCCGCTTCTGGCCAACTCGGTGCCGAGGCAGAGAAAGCCCCGCCGCCGCCGCGCGAAAGCGGCGCCCGGGAGGATGCTGCTACCCGCCTCCCCCTACGCCGAGCGCCCGCAACGCGCCCGGGCCGGCCTCTGCGCGACTCCTGCCAGCCGCCGCCGGGTTGGTGCGCGCCGCCGTCTGTCGCCGCGGCTCCTCCCCTTCGCCGCGCTGCCCTCTGCCGCCGCCCGGCCCGCCCCCGCCCCCGTCGCCTCGCCGGGCTCCCGCCGCCGCCGCCGCCTCCGGGCTGGAGATGCCACCCGTCCGCGGCGGCGCTGCTGGGCCGCCAGCCGCGGGCACCGGTGCGCAACTCCCCGCACCCGGGCGCGGACGCGGGATGCGGAGCGCTCGGCCCCGGGGGCTGCGAGAGACCTGGATTCTGCGTGCGGCTGCCGGACTCGGCCCCATGCCGTGCTCTCGGAAAAGAGTTGGTGATAAAAGTTTGGGCAGAAATCCCCCGCCGGCCGGCCGCTCAGCTCTTCCCCCAGGTCGGCACGGCCCGCCCTGCGGGAGCCGAGGACGCGCCCGCGCCCCGCAGCGCCGGGAGGACGCGGCGCGCCGCTCCCAAGCTCCTGACACCCTGCTCGCCCATTCCCGCTGCTCTGTGGCTCTTCCCCCTCGGAGGAAGTAATAAATCTTTCTGACCCCGGAGTCAAAGAAGACGCCTCAGTTTTCCGGAGCGGTGTGCGGGCGGGGCGTCTGCTCCCCGCTTTACCGGACCCGCGGGCGGGGCCGCTCGGGTTTTCTGCGCCGGCCGCAGATGCTGTCCCCATTTCCGCTCGTAGTCGGGCGTCCACTGTGATTGGCGTCCTCCGGAATTGGGGTGCTGGGGGCAGGGGCGTCACTTTGTTTTAATTGACAGTAAAATACTTGTCTCGCTTCTTGGTTTTAGAGAGATCAAAGAACTTGTCCTCAAAGGAAACACGGTTGTTGGAAGTAGAAAATCATTTTTTTAGTTGGTTTGGGTGGTTTAAGGAACTTTTTTAAGGTTATGAGGAAAAGCTCCTCTCCCCCACCGCCTCAAGAACACTAAGCCACAGCCTCAACTTCATCTGTAAAATGGGAACAGAAATAAGAGCCTCGGGAGACCGGACGGTGACTGTCAGAGTGCACAAGTGGAAGGTCTGACCCAGTTCAGGCCCCCAAGTGCGGGAAGGTGGGTCGCTGAGGGTCCCGAAGCTCAGCGCCTGCGGGCGACCGGCGTGCTCGCTGATCCAGAGGTTTATTGTCTCCTGTCCCCTGGAGTTTTTAATCAAAGTTACTGCAAAATCATCTTTGCGCTATTTGGGGGCAGCCTTTCCCAGCGAGAGGACCCTTCTAAGTTTAAAACTTTGCCGTTATTCTCCAGTGAGTCTCAAGAGAACCTTCTGAGTACAAAGACTCTTGCAAAGCAACTTAACTTTCCATGGGTTTGTAACTCACTTTTTATGGATTAAGTTTCAGGGTAGAAAAATGTTCAAAGAACTTGATTTAGCCGTTTTCCAGAAAAATCCATGCTGTCAGGAGTGGAGTTCAGCTACTTCTCAGGGGTGGGGGGCGGGAGGAAGCGGGAAGAGGAGAGCTCGGAATGTATATCCAGCTGTTTCAAGTGGCTTGGCGTTTCCTCTGGGAGTCGGTCAGGACAGATGGAAGTTTTTAATCCCTGCTAACCAAAGAAGGTGGTAGAGTTTAATTGGGTGACTCCCCATCTTTTCTTTTCTGGACCCCGCCTACCCAACCTCCCCTGCATTGTCAAATATCCCTGCCCCTTCTCTGTTCAACTCTTTCCCCACAGAAGCTAAAGTTATGTTGTTGGTGCTTGAAAAGACTGATGGAAAAGAGAGGAAGTTGGGGACGAGAGGAAACTTCAGCCTTAATATCCAGCATGATTCCAAGAAAAATAATGCCTAATAGTTTTAATTTAGTCTCTGGCTTTGTGCTTACCCAGAAAGCACTGATTTGCCATTAGTTGCTGTAAAGACCCTTTTTTAAACAATTGTTTGCATAGAAACAATTTTGTTGCAATTTTGTAACACTTTACTGGAGTTGGCAAAATAGGAAATCCATTTGCCAGACGCCCCCACAGTGAGTGCTCAGCTGTGAGTGCTCAGCTGGCATAAATTTACAGGTTCTGGCATCTCCACCCTCTCCTTGCTTGAAAATATTTTACCGTTTTGCATCATGTCATGATTAATTCTGAACTTTTCTACAGCTAATAACATCCAAAAACTTGATAATACCTTACTTCCTTCATTTGTTCTGAAATCCTTTTCATTTTAAGCTACTTATCCTTTTAGCATAGTAATGACCCAGACATATAGTAAGTCACATAATAATTTCATTTGCAGAAGATCCAGTCAGGCCACAGGGCTAGCCTCAATTTCAGCCCCCTGTTTAGCTCATTGTAATCCAGTCTTTTCCAGGATGGTCCTTCAGTCTCTCTCTCTCTTCTCTACTGCCTGTTATGTGGGAAGGAAATTGCTGTGGCTTTTGCCTAACCCTGGACAAATAAGGGGCCTAGCCTTCTGGGGTGCTTCAGGCCCAGTACCCAGCCTGTGGAAAATGGCAGAGAGACCTTCAAGAACCTTCTTCCACAGTCTAGACGGGGGAACGGTGTCAGGCTGGGTTACCTGGGCAGTTCCCATCCAGCCTGTCAGTGTCATGAGAGCCTTGAAGAGTCATCGTTGGGAAATGTCTGCCCCTGGGTACCAAGATGGCATCTTTCTCTCATATTTTCAACAAACATGAGGCTCCAAATATTTTCAGTGGAGCTTGATTGTACAGAATTGGGTTAATCATAATCCTTGATTTAAGACATTTGGCTGTCATTAGTCCAAGATTGGCCCCCTTATTTATTTATTTATATGTTTTAATATAATGAATATGTATGAACCCATTAAAAACTTAGATGAAATGTTCAAGTTCCACAAGGAAAAAGAAAAAAAACTTGCCTTAACAATCTCAAAAAGAAATAGCCTGAATAGTCATGTGATTGCTAAGAAACCAACATAATTATGTAAAATCTTCCCACAAGAAAAACAACAGGCCCAGAGAGAGTTAAAGGAGGGCTCTACCCAACTTTCAAGGGCTAGACTGTTTCTACCTTATGCAACCTCTTCCAACAAAGAGAAAAAGAGGGAGTACTTCCCCAGCTCATCCTAAGGGAATATCTAGAGGGGGATTTCAGAGAAGGAACTAGGTCCTATTTTCTGATTAATATATGCATAAAACTCTTAGTTATAATATCAGCAAAACAAGCAGAGAAGGAAAGACAGTACACTACAGCCAAGTAAGGTTTAGCCCAGGAATAGGAGGATAACTTGATAAATATTTATTAAGCCCCTACAAGGTGCCAGGTGCTGGTCTAGCCTTGCCGGATGCAGGAGTGAAGCAGACAGGCCTGGTCCCTCCCCACCGTGGAATTTACACTCTAGAGTGGGAGACACTCAGTGCACACGAACTTAAACAAATAAGATTATCTTAGAGAATGGCAAGTGCTATAGAGGAAATAAAATAGATCAGTGTAACAGAGAATGATTGGAAACAGCTACTTTACATTGGGAAAGTAATATTTGCAAAAAGGAGGTGACCCTTGTAAAGAATGAGGCCGCAGCCAGGTGAAAACTGAGGGATGACAATGGCATGCAGGTGATACAGCAGGTGCAGAAGCCCCGAGTGGAGGTGAGGTTGACATGTTTAAAGAGCAACAAGAGGTCCAGTAGGGCTGGAGCCCAGAGAGTAAGATCATTGTGTCCACCTGATTGGGGTATGCCTGGCCCGCAATGCCTGAAGGGGTTTCCTTAACATTAGAGTTGCCATAAGAAAAATTCCCAAACCATGTTTTTCCTCTGTTCTCACACAACAGTCATCAGCACAGAAGACTTCTGTGACCAAATGCATGGGGGCTTTTTTCCCCCGACATACCGAGCAATGGACACCACCTGGGTTCCTCTCATTCAATTCCAACACTACCTAGAGATTGCGCCATATCCCACAGGGTGAGGGCTCAGCCCCCAAAACTGCCACTCTTTAGACACCAGTCACAAGCCCGGACCTCCAGAACTTAGGACCGACGGGCTTCAAGTCGGAGTCCTCACGACCTTCTCTTTGGGTTCAATTAATTAGCTGGAGCATCTCACAGAACTCAGGGAGATGCTTACTTACATTTACCAGCTTATTAGAAAGAATATTACAAAGGATACAGATGAAGGGTTGTGTAGGGAGAGGTACGGGGGAAGGGGGCAGAGTGTCCATGCCGCCCTGGGCACACCACTCATCAGGAGCCTCCATGTGTTCAGTGTCTAGAGGCTCCCCCAAACCCTGTCCTGCTGGGTTTTTCTGGAGGCATCATGACATCAGCATTTTTGCCCCCAAGTTATAGGGCAGGTGAAAGGAGGGCACACCCAACATTATAACAGAAGACTGCATGTAACAAGGAGTATGGGAGTTATGAGCCTAGATTTTAAAATGCAATTTGTTAAGAAGCACAAAAGGATGTTACAGGGAAAATGCACAAAGGTATACTTCTCTAAGAGCATACGTAGCTAATCTCTAAATGTGTCGCTCTGGTGTTGACCTGTTTGAGCACCACTCTCTCCTCCTCAGACCCACTTGGACTTGCTCAACCCTCCGCATCTTCACCTTTGAGACCTAGCCCAGCTGTCTACTTCCTGGATCTCACCTTAGCCTTGAAGTTTGGCAACAAAGCTTTTGAGTTCCCTTCTGCAATTTGTCATTCCAGACATTAGAGGACACAGGCTAGCTAACTGGACCAGGAGATGATGTTCCACTGCCACAGCTATAACCACTGCCTTCTTTACTGCAGTGGCCGCTACTCTCCTGCCTGTGGTGGGCATCCTGTTGAGTTCTGCCTGACCCACACCCATTTTCCTTTCCTATGATCATAGTGTCTGAACCACCTTACTCCATTGTATGTGGCTTTGGGGGACCTTCAACCAAGGCATTTCTCTCCTCCTCCCAAGGGGTGGGTACATAACCCAAGTTCAGCCAATTAGATGTTCTCTCCATGGAAGTTCCATTCATTCATTCACTCATTCATTCATTTATCCTATATGTATTGAGCTCCTACCATGTGCCAGGC